ATAAAGATAAAACCCAAGATCAGAATCAATTTAACCCAAAACCAAAAATCTAACCTTCGTTCTTGAGAAATTGACGAGAATCCCTCCGCTTTGTCGGATTAGGGTTACGAAGTGAGAGTTTTCGAGAGAGAATTTGAGAGCGAGAGAGAGATTTCAAGTTGAACCAAAACTTTTGAGAGATAGAGAGAGATTTCGAGAAAGATAGATTTCGAGAAAGATAGATTTCGAGAGAGAGAGAGAGATTTCGAAGATTAGGGTTACGAAGTGTGAAATGGAATTTTGGGTTTACGGATTTCGAGCTGAACTATAAAACCTTCGAGAGAGAGATTTCGAGCTGCTAAAACCTTCGAGTGAGAGATTTCGAGTGAGAGATTTCGAGAGAGAGAGAGATTTGATTTCGAGAAATAGAATTAATTTTAACGTTGTTTTTTCAGAGGCGGGGACTTAAATTTTTGGTTACGTTGTCCACAATATACATAGCGATTAATTTCTCCTCCTATTATAGGAGCAAATATTTTCCCGCGTATCAAATTTTTATCTACCCAACACATTGATAGCGTTTACAAGTAAACAAATCATACATATATTTTTGAAAATAAATTACCAAGTGGACAAATCATACATAAATTTGAAAGTTCGCGCATTGAAAATAAATATTATATTTCTTATATATTTCTGTATATTTATTTTTTTTTTAAAAGTATGCAATATTTTAACGAAATAATTTTTTGTAATACAATTATCAAATTAATTTTCCTTAACTCTCTCTTACCTCCAAAAAATTGTAATACATATTTTTAGTATACTCATCATTATATTTAGTTTTTTTTATTCAACATATAATTATATAAAGATCATTAAAAATTTTATTTAATTCAAATTTTGTAGTGTAAGATTTTTTCTATATATAGCAATATAGAATTTTTCTAGCAATATAACTTAAATTAAGGGGAATATAAAAAGAGATTAAACAATGAAAGTAATCTTTGGGATTTTTTTTAAAGCTTTTGATAGCACTTCATATGATTTTATAGGAAATGTATTTAATATGTTATTTACAAAATAATTTGGAAAATGTAAATCCTATAATTTATTTTTTAATGTAACTCCTATAATTTTTTAAAACATTGTAACTTTTCTTACTTCTCATACTATAAATACTCATTTTCTTATTCTCTCATCCTCTTCCATTATATCTCAAATCTTTAAAAAAACAAATTGTTGTGTTTTTTGTTGTTGTGGTTGTTGTTGTATGGATTAGAAAAGTCAATTTAAATATTATTGTAAGAACTTCGTTCTAAATTTAATTTTATAAACTATATAATATATATCTTACATCAATTTTTTGTTTTGTTTTTTAAAGATGCATCTTCATTGTGTATTTCAGATTAACATCTTTATAAGTAATCATTTCTCTCATTTTCTTCTACTATATTTATGTGTCTATTTTTATGTTGTTATATGGGTTGATAATCAAGAATTTGATTCTAAATTTCTTTTAGAAAGTATTATATATATATATATATATATATATATATATATCTTAAATTTTATTTATTTTTGTATATTTCTAAAGCCATACTAGATTATACTTATTTCTTCTTAAATTTTCATATTTTTAAATTAAATTCACATATGTAAAATAAAAGTTTTGATGGTTATAACAAAACTTTCAAGTTTATTGGTGATAGAGAGTTAAATATACCAATTTCAATCATGGCACAACAAGATAATGAAGTTGAAAAGATCCATTTCTATTATCTACTTTAGATGTTTGATTATTTTTTAACTTATTCATATAATTTTTTTAATTATGCAATATTTAATAAAATAAATTATTTTTATACATTTATCAAATATATTTTTCTTACCACTTTTAATCACAAATAAATTTTGTAATTCATTTTTAATATATGTATCATAGATAACTATATAAAGATAGATATAATGTTTATTTTATAAATTGAGGTTTAGGGTTTTAAGAAAACAAAAAGAACTTCATTAAAAAAATTTGGTCCTTAAGATTAAAAAATGAAATCATCTGTGTCAAGAAAATTTAATTTAGTTAGAATGAAACCTAGCGCTCATACTTAAATGGAGTGAAATATAGAAAAAAATAACTATAATTAAAACAAAATTCATTTTATTAAATCCTATAAAGATGAAACCATTAGTATGAAATCTAGCATTAGAATTTCAATTGATGAGTGATACTACAAAAAAAAAGATAAAAAAAAAAAAGAAGAAAGATAGAAGTTATCATTGAGATCTTTTAAAAATAATATTTAGAATGAAATTCATATGATTTTTTAATTAAATATAGAAAACAATAACTATAATTAAAAAAAATTCATTTTATTAAATCCTATAAAGATGAAACCATTAGTATGAAATCTAGCATTAGAATTTCAATTGATGAGTGAAATTACAAAAAAAAAAGATAAAATAAAAGAAGAAAGATAGAAGTTATCATTGAGATCTTTTAAAAAAATATTTACAATGAAATTCATATGATTTTTATAAGAAAAACAAATATAGTTTGTCACTTATAAAATAATATGAATTTGAACTATTATGTGGTAGTTTATATCAACAAATAAATTAATTATCTGTGTGTTTATATCAACAATTTATTTTGTAAAAGTAATATTTAACATATGTTTATTAATATTTACAAAACTACTAAAATATGAGAAACTACTAATAGTAAATAATACGTAAAGTAAAAACTACTAAAATATGAGAAAATGCAAAATATCAGATCTCAAGAGCTTTTTAAATTTCTTCATCATACTTATATTGAAACAAATTTATTTATAAAAAAAATATACCGCCGCGTAGCGCGGGCTTTCATCTATTTTTATATAAAATCAAGGCTATGTTAACTATAGCATAAGCACTTAAAACACTATCTTCTTTTGCTATGAATACTCGATATTCTTGTAATGAATGTTATCAATAAATTGAAGTCACATGTCCAGCATTCACGACATAGTAATGTTGTTTGTTCCAGCACTGATTCACTTTAGCATATAAACTCGTTGTTCTCCAATCCTTGTCTTTGTTCTTGCTAATTGATAATTTGGGATGTATCTTCATATCTGGCATCTCATTAGGTGTGCACACCTCAGCTGGTCCCAATTGCTTGAAGAAATTATGAGGGCAATTATATGCGACGACATTAAAGCAAATACAAGCTGCACATGAATAGATCATATAAACATGATCTTTGTACTCATCATGCAATTCAAGGTCACGGTCAGAAATTTTATAAGGTTGCCATGTAACCTGTGAATATATAATCAAGTATTGAGTTTACAACTGTATTATATAAGCAGTTTATACAGTCCTAAAGAAGTATTACCTGATCTTCCATCATGTTGTCAAGCTTGGTTTAGAAATGATTTACAAAGATGTTCTTATCATTTCCTTTAGGAAATTGATTCAACAACCCTGAAAGCAGAGGAAACCCGGAAAGTATAGAATCAATAGATAATGTTTCGCGTAAGCATGGAAATCTCGCTCCACTGCAAATATCTACGGAAAAAATAAAGAACAAATGTCACTTCTTTCAAGATATATTTAAGACTACCAAACATTTTTTTATGTAGCTGATAACTTTGTATTTTTACATATATTAGCTATTGTTTTCATATGTTTTAAGAAACATTTTGTGTGATTTCAAAGTTAAAGAGGAGATATTCAAGTATTTATGAAGTCAAGAAGCATTTCTGAGTTTTATGGCAAAAAAAGACCAAAAGACGAGCAAAATGCGTTTTCGGACATATTCGAAACTCCGAAGGTTTTGCATCCGTTGAAGAACTTCATGTGCATCAAATTAAGAGATCTTGGACTCTATAGAAAGCTAGAAGAATCAGAAACCACGACGAATTGGAATTAGACTCATGCAATTAACGGTCGTTTTTAGTGCCCATTGGAATGAATAATGATAACTATAATTTAGTTACATATTGAACAAAGTGTAATCTCTAAGATATATAGTGAAAGTCTAATCTTTATTTATAAATATTAATCATTTCATCCATCTAATTTTATGTGTTTTTCCATGTTCTTAACTTTTTTACAAAGTTAGTTTCATTCATTTGTTTTACATATGAAAAGAAAATGTACAAGAATTATTTTCATATATATATTATATAAAAAAAGAATTTCACTCTATCTTTATTGGTAAGTTGACATTTTAAAAAAAATCAATATTTAAATTGTATTAAAGGTTAAGAAAAAGAAATCAAAAATCACAAATTTAATGTCATATAATAAAATGTTGATTTTATATTTCATCATATTCTTTTTTTTTAATAATATCTAACAAATTTCCTATTTAATTTGATTTTGAATGCAAATTAATGTATATTTCTTAAATTTTATTGTGTTATGATCTCACATACTTCATAGTCACCAATCATCTTTCTATACCATATTACTATCTTCATTTGTGTTTTCTATCTCTTTTGGTCATCAATTTCAACAAAATTTTATGGCTATATGTTGCATTTGAAAATTAATGATAATAATAATTTTATTTACTATAAAATACAAAGATGATCTATTTTTTAAATAGCTAAACATTTTTAATGTATATTAGTCATAACATATATATATATATTATATTAATTTCAAATTCACACAGTGCGTTGTATACTTTCTAATTAGTATGGATGAAAACCCGTTCGTACTCACCTAATCTATACTAATAAAAGGGACTACTTGAGCCCTCTGAGAATGTCCACGTCAGCTTTAAAAGAACCCACTTTAGAGGATGCCACATCAGCATCAAAATCCAAAGGGACTACTTGAGCCCTCGGAAAGTGTCCACGTCAACTATAAAAGAACCCACTTTAGAGGATGCCACATCAGCATCAAAATCTCCGGAAAAAAATCTCCCACCCACTCCCTAATAAAACGAAATCTTTTAAAAATGAGGTAGGAACCCCAACTATTGGGCTCTGCCAAAAATAAAGAAACTAAGCCCAATCTATACTTAAAAAGAAAAACCACAAACCCAAACTAATATATCTCTTCTCCATCGACACACCACAAACTCTTCTTCTTCTACTTCAAACCCTACGTCGCCATTGACGAACACCAACTCCAAGCGCTTCGTCTTCCCAGTTTCTGCAATTAAGCATCACCGTTATCAGTTACTCTTCTTAATTTCCCACTCCCTAGATTTAAATGCCCACTTCAATCTTATTGTTATCCTCTCATCACAGGCACTATAAAATCATGGTCATCACCACCAAAAGTTTCTAACACCACCCAGAAAAACAGCCATGGCAGCTTCACCTACCTCACTCACTGAGAAACCGCTCAGCAGAAAAACTTTCGATGACCTTGAGGGTGTTTTTAGCGAAGAAGAAGTCTTATTCAGATTGATCCATTTCTGGGAGGCTCGCAATCACACAAGAGGCAATAGTCTCATTGGTCTTGAGCTCCTATTCATCGACGAAAAGGTATTCACTCAAACAAATTCCATATAAGCTTAAGCATCTTGCCACCATCTATATACTAACTTTTGCAATTCTATCAGTCAACAACAATCCAAGCCTTCATACCTGCAAACAGAATCTCTCGCTACGAGAAATCACTCAAACCAAATTCAGTGTACAAGATGAAGAAGTTCATCATCAGTCCCTGCAAGAAACTTTTCAAAGTCTCTGCCCACAAATACGGCATCTGCTTCACCAATAAAACAGATTTGGACGAAGTTACCAAGGGAGAGCATAAAATTGCCTCTCAGAAATTTAGGATCCGCTCTTTCAATGATTTCGCAGCTATTGTAGACAGAAACGGAGACCTATTCGGTAAGAAACGCTCCATCGAGATAAACTTCTGTTTCAATTGTAGATTTCCTACAAGTCCTACTGGTCCTCATCCCTTATTTGTAGAATTGAAAAATACTAATGTTTAAATTGTAGATGTTATTGGTCAAATTCGTCTCATAACTGGAGATAATTTATCTGCTGCTACCTCAAATGCTGAAGAACCTAAAGCTGCCAACGGGAAGTCTAAGGATAAGGTCTTCATGCACCTCCTCATGAAAGAGTACGCACACAAAAAACTTGCCATTGTTTCTTACATTTTCAAAAATCTAGACCAAGCTTATCCATCAATTACAGCATCTTGAGTTACTATTTGCTATTGACTAATTGTCTCACATACTTGCATCACAAACTCTTTTAAAAATCCCATGAGTCTCTTCACCATCTCCTAAGGTTTCAACTTAATTCTATCTAACCCTTTACAAACTTATTCCACACAGCGGCGAAACTGTTCGCATCTACCTCTGGGATAACATTGCTGCAAAGTTCCGCACACGGTGGAATGCAAGCGAAACCAAACCAACTATCCTACTGCTCACCACTGTCAACGCAAAATTCCTCGGAGGTATGCACACTCCATATCAAACGTAAACTGCATAAGCAATCTCTTACTTTACAGCTCCACTATGTAGGTGCTGTCACGCTAAGTTCTACATCTGCTTCTCGCCTCTTCTTTGACACAGACATTGCTGAAACCACATAGTTTAATACATGGTATATTTCACTTCCGCCTACTACTTTCCAATTTACAAATACTCACTACAAATATAATAAAACTCAACTCCTTTGTAATCCTCAGGTTAAGTGAACAAGACCCAACTTTTGGTAGCTCATCTTCCGCAATAACCAAAATCGAAACACTTACTCTAAATGAGCTTCACGAGTTTATCAAAAACAAAACCCCACAGGTAACTTCCAACCTTTACCAAAAGTCTTACTTCTCAAATTAAGGTTCTGTCAAAAAACCCCTAACAATAAAAATAAGCAGGAAATCAGCTTTCAATGTGTTGCCACCATTGTCAACGTACTTGGAGAATATCACTGGAATTACGTTTCATGCACCTACTGCAATACAATGCTGGAAAAGTTGGATACAACAATGACTTGCACAACCTGTAAGAAACCTAACAAGGTTGGGGTGCTCAGGTAAAGTTCTAGCTATAAGAATTACAACAATTTAATCTCCAGCATTTTATAAAGTGTATATATTGATCTAATACCTTAAAATCATCGCCAATGTTTGCTTAGGTATCGTTTTGAAATATCAGTCTCTGATGAGAACAACGGCCTTGCAACCTTTGTCATTTTCGACCGTGAAGGCATACACTTTGCTGGAAGAAGAGCTCCGGAAGTTTTTGCAAGTGAATACCCTGAGGTAAAGTTTATCCAAATTATTTAATAACCCAAATAATTATTTATCCACATCAAGTTCAACCAAATTATTTAACAACCCAAATAATTATTTATCCACATCACGTTATTCTTAACAGGGTGATGATCCTGATGAATGTGAACTAATTAGCAAGAAGACCCCACAGTGTATCTTGGATATTGTTGGACGCACATGCAAATTCCAGGTCAAGCTGACACCATACAATTTCCGGGCAACTCGCCAAACTTTCACAGTCTCCCGTATAATCGAGGATAATATTGACATCCACTACAAGTCAAACCAAAAAGAGATGGCAACAGAAGAACCCGAACATGCCACTCATATTGCATCTGGAAAAGCCAAAAACAAGGTGGACGACTTAGATTTGGAGGAACACACTAAGAACAAGACATACAAGCGTCTTCGCCACAACTACTAAATCCACCACCAAATCTCATACATGCATTTGAAGATCAATCTCGCCAACTTCACCTACCCACTTATCGTCTAAGAGTCAAGCTTTCCTTATTATTTCTGCGTCTTGCATTCTGCGTTATTTCATAGTTCACTTATCGTCTAAGAGTCTAGCTTTTCTTATTATTTCTGAGTCATGCATTCTGTGTTATTTCATAGTTTCCCTTCTCTTATTTTCTTAAATAAATGATGTTTCTCTACAACAACTTCTAAATTAAATAAAATCTCATTTCTCCTAATTTCAACCAACGATTGTAAATACAAAAAACATCATCTTCAGCTTTCTTTCAAGTCTAAGTCAAACTTAAAACGGTCAAATTCGTAGTACATTTGACTCTTAAATCACTTCACCATCAAAACTAATTGACGCCTAAAACTACGCAGATTTTAACTTTGATATAGCAATTTTCCATTTCAAACAAAGAAACGGAAATCACATATATTTACAAAATCATGAAAGTAACCTATAATACAAAAAAAAATTGTATTAAATTCTAAAAAATATCACAGAATAAAATATATTGTTTCCCTACAAACAAAACTGTTCTTCAAAAAAACCTCCCACCTTCTCTCTACCCAATCTTTATTCCATTTTTTGGTTCATGCAAATAACACCTTTCATCGTTTGAAAATTATGCACTGCAAAGCATTAACAAAAAATACAATGTTTTTCTAACTGCTTATTTCATGTTTGCAGGTATTGGAAGGCTTTACAGAGAGTTTCGAACAATGGCGAAAATAAAACCCCACAGGTAAGACAACGTGAAGAAGATGACTTTATAGAGCAGCTGGATGGTAAACTTAACTCCAGCTCTATATTATATCTTCAAATCTACATTTAAAAAAAAAAAAACTTAAAACCTTACACATGCTGATAAGATCTCTTTTAATAGGTCAAACCCATCAACAACGCCGGCGCACAAACTTACCAATCCCTGCAACACCATCAATCATCGGTTATCATTGTAAATTTCTCATTACAATTATAATATAATAAACAACAAATAATTCAAATATAAACGCTAACCACAATGTCAATTATATTCTAAATGCATCTTATTTCAAACCTAGGCGGATGCATCAGCTGCTACAAATATGGTACTTTCCACTCCAACAATGAAACTTACACAACTTCACAAAACAAGGTAGAAAGGCCATTTGTGATTAATTCTATTTAATCTTTTCTTAATTTATTATACAGATGGTCATAAGAATGCACGCTCTATGAGAAAAGCAATCATGCTTTCTAAAAGATGGCATAGACGACAATCTCAGGCATCTACTCAACTGGCTGCTTCAAGTTCTACAGGCAACAAAAGTAAAAAAAAAAAACCAAAAGAGTCAAAACAAACCACATTCACATAAAAAAAAAAGAGGTACCAAAACCTATGTCCAATCACAGCATTTTCACTTTCAGTTACATATCCACACAAAGTCCCATTTGTTCTAAAGCTTACAAACTATTTATGCAGTATCACCAAAGGAAGGCAGAAAAGTAACTCCTCCTCGCACTCTCAAGTACTATGACTGTAAGTTTATTACAAATATACACCTTTACCAAAATACAGAAAAACCACACTATAGAATGTTATACTAATACTTGCCAATACCTCCAAATTTGTCCCAAAAAATAGGTGGCTGTGAAAGATGCTATGAATATGGTAACACTCTAATCCCTTAAATTAATATGTCATCATGCATTTTCCTTTCACTATACAAATTCATATACTCACAAATGATGACTACTCTCTACTGCAGTTAGGCGAAAAAATGCCCAAACATTGAGACGCGCTATCATTTTATCAAAAAGATTATCAAAAAAACACCAAGGTAATCTACTCCCCATAAAAAACAAATACAATAATCAACAAACATTATAGTAACATATACACTAAACACAAACAGGCGAGGCTTCAAGTTCCCAAAAATTAACACGGCAACAGAGAAAACAACTTCAAGGTAAGTCTTCTTAACCAAATCTATATTTCTAACAAAATAAACACAAAAAAAAACTTTTACTAAAATTATTACTATTATCCTTATTTCAGCTTCAATGGTTCAGGAAAACCCAATATTACAATGCCCACATTGTAAAGCTTTGGTCTGGTATTCAGAAAAAACTGGAAATGATCCAAGCACCGGAGAACCTATATTCACAATATGTTGTCAACAAGGCCGTGTCAAACTCCCACCAATCAAGCAACCCCCTCCGTATTTGGAATACCTACATGCCAATAGCAAGACGTTCCGTATCAATATACGAATCTACAATTCTATCCTTGCATTCACGTCAATGGGAGCCCAAATAGATCATAGTGTAACATACGCAACTGGCCCACCGGTTTTTAGAATACATGGTCAGGTCTTCCACCGCATTGGTTCACTTCTACCCATGCCTGGACAGAACCCCAAGTTCTTGCAGATGTATATCATAGACACGGAAAATGAAGTCTCAAACCGTATAAACACTATGTCGCGAAGAGACTCAGCTGCACAGCTAGAGGAAGATATAGTTGCAGGCTTGATTGAAATGTTAGACGAACATAATTGCTTGTGCATGTTTTTTCGAAAAGCGCGAGACAGATTCAATGGAAATAACGTAGAATAGTTGCGGGTACAATTGGTTGACAAAAAAGGAAAAGGCAAACAATATGATCTACCACAGATTCAAGAGGTTGCTGGATTAATAGTAGGTGATTTAACTACTAATATTGGTGAAAGAGATATTGTCTTAGAGTTACAGTCAAACCACCTACAACAAATAAGGGATGACCACCCTTTGCTTATGAGTCTGCAGTACCCGTTGTTGTTCCCATATGGTGAATTTGGATATCATACTGAAATACAACATGCTGTTACACAAACTGGCGAGCGGAGGAGATCTTTTATAAGTATACGAGAATACTATGCTTACCAAATCCAAACCAGACTGAATGAAGGAATGACCCTAATAAAGGGAGGCCGCCTACTACACCAATATTTAGTTGATTCGTATACATCCATAGAGCAAGAGAGACTTCGATGGGCAAAGAACAATTAAGGGCAGACTTATATAACAATGTCTTCGATGCAGTTGGTAAAGGAGATACAGATGCTAAAAAGATTGGGAAAAGGATTATTCTACCATCAAGTTTTACAGGAGGACCAAGGTACATGATAGAGAAATATCATGACGCAATGGCAATTTGTAGAACATATGGGAATCCAACTTTATTCATTACTATGACCGCAAACCCGAATTGGAAAGAAATAAAGGAACATCTGGCAACTTACGGCGAGGTCTTAGGTAATGAACGACCTGATATTGAATGTCGAGTTTTCAAAATGAAACTCAAACAATTTCTTAAAGATCTCGAGCAAGGCACTTTCTTCAGCCCATGTAAAGCAGGTACGTAACAACATATACCCAAACTAACCTTCCAAAAATATGTTATATATTATTTTCTACAATATAATATAGTAAACATGTTTTGCAGTGTTACACACAGTTGAGTTTCAAAAACGAGGATTACCACATGCCCATATTCTACTATGGTTGGATAAAACATCCAAAATTCCAACGCCAGAAGAAATTAATGCAATAATTTCTGCAGAATTACCAAACAAAACAGAAGATCCCCTAGGATTTGAGCTTGTGGAAAAACACATGATGCATGGACCATGTGGAAAGGATCGACCTTCCTCACCTTGCATGGCTAATCAGGTATGTTCCAAAAAATACCCACGATCCTATACAGCATTCACCACGATAGATAAATCCGGCTATATTATCTATCGCCGGCGCCGCACCAGTGATAACTTTGTCATGAAGGGAGGGAAAAAGTTAGACAATCAATTTGTTATTCCACATAACATCGATATCTTGAAAAAATATGAGGCGCATATCAACGTGGAATGGTGCAACACGACAAATGCAGTCAAATATTTGTTCAAGTATATCACAAAAGGAGTGGATAAAGCAACCATTTTGATTGAAAAAGGTACGACAAGTACAACAACCAATGAAACTTCACGAGAATTTGTCAAAGAAAGAGATGAAATCCAAGAGTATCTGGATTGTCGCTATTTGTCAGCATGTGAAGCAATGTGGCGTACATTTGCATACCACATTCACAAACGGAAACCAGCGGTTCAGAAATTAATTATCCACCTAGAAGACCAGCAAACAGTCACTTATAAGAAAACCGATAATCTGGACCGGGTGCTATCTAGATATGGTATTGAGAAGACGATGTTCACAGAATGGATGGAAATGAACAAACACTGCGAAGAAGCTAGAGGTTTGACATATGTCGAATTCCCAAAATATTTTTTCTGGGACGCAGATAATAAAGCGTGGCATCGCAGACGGCGTGGACAAAATTCAACAACTATTAGGACCATAGGCCGAATAGTTAATATTCACCCAAATGCTGGCGAACTCTACTACCTTAGAATACTGGTCAACGTTGTAATAGGTCCAACAAGCTACGAAGACATACTTACAGTGGGTGGTGAGAAAAGGAAAAGTTTTAAAGAAGCATGTAGAGCTAGAGGTATACTAGACAACGATTTGGAGTGGCATAAAGTGTTGGATGAGTCAACTCAATGGGCAACTCCACATCAGTTACGTCATCTATTTGTCTTTTTGCTAATCTACTGTGAGGTTGCTAACCCATTAGGTTTATGGGAACATTGTTGGAAATCATTATCTGAAGACGTCCTTCGCAAGCGCCGTCGTGAATTTGGATTTCAGAAGCTTACTTTAGATGAAGATGAGTTGCAGCAGTATACTTTGATTGAAGTTGAACAACTTCTGCATCAACACGATCGCTCACTCACAGACTTCAAAGAAATGCCAAAGCCTGATAAAAAGATTCTCAAAGAACTAGGTAACAGCTTGTTGAAACAAGAATTGTTGTACAACAGGAAAAAAGAAAAGGAAGAGCATGAAAAACACTACCACCTTCTTAACAGTGAGCAGAGAAGAGTTTACGATGCAGTTCTTGATTCAGTAGTTAACAACCTGGGAAAATTATTCTTTCTTAACGGACCTGGTGGAACAGGGAAAACTTTTGTCTATAAGACATTAATTGCAAAGTTTAGATCATCCAAGCAAGTGGTATTACCTGTAGCGTCTTCAGGCATCGCGGCATTGCTATTACCAGGTGGTAGGACAGCACATTCAAGATTTAAAATACCACTAAATCTCACAGAAGATTCTATGTGTGATGTAAAGCCGAATACAATGCTCGCTGAATTGCTTCTCAAAATAGATTTAATCATATGGGATGAAGCCCCAATGTCACATCGCCACACATTCGAGGCACTCGATAGGACATTAAGAGATTTAATGTCTACGGAAGATTCTTCAGCAAGTGGAAAAATGTTTGGTGGAAAAACTGTGCTTCTAGGTGGAGATTTCCATCAGATCCTACCCGTTATAACACATGGGTCACGAGCGGATACAATTCTTACATCTATAAGCAAATCATACATATGGGACGCATGTAACGTATACCACTTACAAAGAAACATGAGGCTCCAACAGTCAGAAACAAGTTTCGCTACATGGTTGCTAAGTATAGGCGACGGTACTGCCCCAGAATGCAAGACTAAAAGGGAAATGAGAATGACGAAGGCCAGCTTGTGGTCATTGATAACCGCTTCCTTCTGCAACCTACTGGAGATCCCCTACAACAAATTTGTCAAGCAACAAAAACACTAAATAAGGAATCCCAAACCAGAGCAGAAAGCCTAACTGAAAGAGCGATTCTAACTCCACGGAACGAAACCGTAGATGACATTAATGCATACATGTTATCCCAAGTTCAAGGAGAGTTAAAGGAATATTTAAGCTACGACAGCATCGCAAAGGCAGATACAATTGGAGCTGATTATGAAGCATTATACCCTATGGAGTATTTAAACTCACTAGAGTATCCAGGCATGCCGAAACATAAGTTAAGTTTGAAACTTGGCGTCCCTATAATGCTAATGAGAAACATTAATCAGAAAGAGGGATTATGCAACGGCACTAGGCTAATTGTCACACGACTGGGAGAACGAGTCATTGAAGGAGAAATACTCACTGGTACACATGCTGGCAACAAAGTAATACTACCAAGGATTATTTTGTCTCCACCAATTTCAGACCATCCATTCACACTCAGGAGAAGACAATTTCCGATCAGAGTATGCTACGCCATGACAATCAACAAAAGTCAAGGACAAAGTTTGAAATCAGTTCTACTCTATTTGCCTACACCAGTCTTTAGCCACGGCCAACTCTACGTAGCTCTATCTAGAGTAACCTCTCCTGAATGCCTAACCATTCTACAAGGAGAAGATGAGACCGAAAATGCAGTCACAAACATCGTCTACAAAGAAATCTTTAAAGATATCCAGAAATATCAAGGTAAATATATAACAGCCCAAACTTTTTTATACACAAAAAAAAAAAAAAAAAAAATTCACGAAGCTAACAATGTTGCAGGATATGCAGGTCTGTCTTCAATTTACCCAACATTGGAACAAGATAACTCATCCACAAACAAATAGGTATTTTACCAAACCATTCAATTTAATTTACCATATGACTCAAGAAACTGAATCTAAGAACTCTAATTTTCAAACGTTGTATTGCATCACTATTGGACTTCACTACAAAATGTAAGCTCGCAGAAGAAGACTCAGATCATTTGTGTCTGATGTGGAGAAAGAAGCATGCTAAACTCTATTATGCCTACTAACTCAATTGACAATTTCGAACAGTATTACATTAAACTTATGTGGTCCATTTACTTTCATATTTCGAAGAAAATTACAATTTCGACACATCAATTACAACAAAAAATAACCCATATATTGACTCAACAAAAAAAACAACGAACAAGATTCTAATCAACATATACAAATATAAACCTGGGAAAAAATGAAACCTTTTAAGGTCCTCAGAGAGTAAAGAACTTCTTCATAAATAACAATCCTCCAAGGAAGCATAGATTCAGGATCTAACAAAATAAAGTCAAATTACACATCGTCAGGTGCA